AGTGGAGGGTCCAGAAAAGCGCTATAGAAGTGTAAGCAATAATAATAACTTAATCAAAATTATTCCCATCATTACTTACTGATCTGTCATCTTTACCTCAAGCTATTGATAATGAAGAGCGTCAGTGGAAAGGCAGTTTGCGGGGGTTGCTGTGCCCGGTCCCCACAACAGCCTGGCAGCTCCCTGTAGCCAGTGCTCACCAGGGCATGCGCATTGAAACTGACCCGAATGCTTCCCTGGCCTCCCGAGAACCGACCAGAACTGAGCTGACGCGCGATCTGGGCAACAGCAGTGCGGACTCTTAACGTAATGATAATGTTGCTTTATCAGCCCCATACAATTTCTTGCATTAGGGATGTGTCTTTTCTCAGACCCCAGCTTGCTCTCCAGGAGACACACAGACAGGGAGAGAGAAGCTGGGGGTCAGAGCTCAGGGTCAGCTATTGTACAGCACCCCTGGAGCAGCTGGGGTGAAAGGCCTAGCTTAGGGGCCCTAACGGAGTAGGATCCCTCTGCCGGCTGCGGGATTCGAACCGGCAACCTCCCAGGCCACAGGCGCAGATCCTGAGCCACAGAGCCCCCGCTCTCAGGGACGGCCTAAAACAGGCAGCCGGGCGGACGAGCTCAGGTCCCGGGGCTCTGGCAGGTCCTGGCTGAAGAGAGCCCTGCGCTCCGGAAACCCGTGACATAGAGACGGGCGGCCAGAGAGATTTTGCCGAGCTCGCCATTTCTGACCCACAGACCGCTGGGAGGGGGGGGGGTAAGGAGAAGATAACTGAATCTCGCTTCTCACAGAGAACTGAAACCGCAGGGACGAAGGTCACCCTGACTTGCTGTATATACACCTCAATCTCGTGCTTGGATCTCTCCCCCCACCCACCCAACACTGGGTTATCGGCAGGCTTCGGAACCCTGTGCAACCTTATTTTCCTTCCCCCTTTAAGTCTGAAGACTTTCCAGTAAAATTCCACCCCGCATAACCAGTAAAAACCGGGGTCAGACAGCCCCAGCCCCCTTTGAGCAGGGGGTTCCCCCAGTTGCCTATGAGGAGCCAGGGCCCCGCCCCCCCCCACAAACACACCCCCCCACAACCCCCAGGGAAACCCTCCAGGGAAAGTCTGGGGGGGGGATCAGTTTTACGCCTTTGTTTTGCAAGGTGATCTGCCCCAAATCCACCGGCTCACAGTTCCGCTTTTAATATTTGAGCATAACTAGCAATCATGTGCAAAAAAAAAAAAGCGTTCTCACTTCCTTTTTAAAAGGGGGTTTGGGGGGGAGATGCTCAGAAAAGTCGGGAAGCTTCACACTTTGAAGGCTCCCCCTTGTCGTGTGGTAAGGACTGACAACAGGAGACGTGTCGCTCCGCAGAGGGGGGGCTGTTGAAGCCGGACCCCCGGTTTCCGTTAAGAACCGGCCGGGTGAGATCCTCCAGCTGGGACAGGAGGCACAAGAGGTAACTACGGGGAAGAGCTTTCAAAACCAAGCACAGGATGCACCCTTTACACAAAGGGTGGCGGGGGCGCGGAACAAGCTACCCAGCCAGGCTGCTTAAGGAAATCTGACAGGAATCTCCCAGAAAAAACAATTCATAATTGCTTACACTTCTATAGCGCTTTTCTGGACCCTCCATTCAGAGTTCTTTCCAGGTCATGGGGATCCCCTCCACCCCCAGCAGTGTGTACCCCCACCTGGATGATGCGCCAGTCCGGTCCCCACACCCCAGCTCTCAGCGGGGAGGAGAGCAGAGTGATGGAGCCGGTTCAGAGAGGGGGGGTTATTAGGAGGCCATGATGGGTCAAGGCCAGGGGGGAAATTTGGCCAGGACACCGGGGTAACACCCCTACTCTTCTCGAGGATTTTTAATTCCACAGAGTCAGGACCTCGGTTTTACGTCTCATCCGAAGGACGGCGCCTTTTTACAGTCTAGTGTCCCACTAACACCTCTTCCAGCTTTCCCAGGAGTCTCCCCTCCAGGTACTGGCCAGGCTCCCACCTGCTGAACTCCAGTGGGGAGCTGCAGGGTGATATGGCTGCTGACCAAAGGAACGGATGATCGTCTTGGATCAGCCTGATGAGAGAGGGCTCCTCATTTGTAACGCATCAACATGGACTACAGAACTGTCCTCGCAATACGCTCTCTCACTAAAAACAGCGGCAGCAGGCTAAAGACACCGACCCTGGAACCTGACCACCTTTTCCAGGGACTGTTCAGCATGTACCCTCACAGTGCAGCCAGGTTCTCCATACATCAAGACCAACAAACCTGACGAGGAATTCAACAGGACATTGATTTTGTTTTTAGCGCAGAATAGAGATTAATCCTGTTT